TAGAGAGAGTAGAAGGGAGGGAGGGAGAGAGAGGAAGAGAGAGAGAGAGAGAGAAACGTCAATGCAACAGCGACACATCAATTGGTTGCCTCCCACAGGTGCCTCACCTGGGGCTGGGGATCGAACCTGCAACCCAGGTACGTGCCTGACCAGGGATGGAACCCCGGCCCTTTGGTGCTTGGGCTGATGCCCTAACCATCGAGCACTCCAGCTGGGGCACCATTACCTTTATTATTCATTTAATACTCAAATCCTCCCCAGTCGGGGTGTCAGGAACCTCCTTCAAACTAGTTCCTGTGTTCTCATTTGACATGCACCCCTCTTTTTCTTTTTTTTTCAGCACTTTCCTACTCTGTGACATGAGTACACTTTGATGTCACTTTTGTGGGCTTCAAATCAGAGATTTCTTCTGGGAGCCCTCGGTCCTTACAGAGTGGAGGGTGATAGTAGAGACCAAAATCCGGGTGTTAGGTGCCCTCATAGCTGCTGAGGTGTCGCTGCTTCTGGAATCCGTCAGGACACAAAGCTGGGAAAGGGTGTCTGTTTGTAAAATAGGAGCGTAGACAGCACCTGGACCCCCAAGGGTTCTCCTTTGCTGTACCCCCTTCTGAGGTGTATCTTCTTTCTTTCAGAGAAAGCAAAGAATGCTAGCTCCCCACACATCAATGTATTTACACACTTGCTCAACCCTGCAATGTGCACAGAATAATTTCAGAACTGTTACCCCTAGGCCACTCCCAACGAGAAACCCTGTTACGTGGGGTTCATGGTTTCTTTGCAGGCCGTCCTGTCTTTGGACGGAGATATAGAATCAAAACTCTCTCTCTATTTATGTTATTGGATCACTACTTTCTCCATCCTGTGGTTGGACTCGTTAGATGTGCATTCGGTTTTGCTTATGTGTGTTCATACTCGATGTTAGTTTTCCCCATCCTTGTTGAATTTGTCTTTTGGACACATAAAACATCGGCCTCTCATTCCGAAGCTCCAAGTTCAAAGGAGTGTCACTTCCTCCCTCTGGCTTCCTTCCTGCTCTCACCTGCCCCCTGCAGGTCGTCAGCTGCATTTGTTTTCCTTTTTCTTGCCTCTTTCCACAAAAAAACATGTGCATACATGTGTCCTAATGTACCCTTCTTTTTAAAAAATATATATTTTTATTGATTTCATAGAGGAAGGGAGAGGGAGAGAAAGATAGATAAAACATCAATGATGGGAGAGAATCCTCGATTGGCTGCCTCTGCACGCCCCACCCTGGGGATCAAGCCCACAACCCCAGCATGTGTCCTGACTGGGAATCGAACCATGACCTTCTGGTTCATAGGTCGACACTCAACCACTGAGCCACACAGGCCAGGCTGTACCCTTCTTTTTTGCTTAAAAGTAGCATCTGGTATATTTCTTATACATCCCCCTCCCCTTTTTAAATTTTTTTTTTTTTTTTTATGATTTCAGAGAGGAAGGGAGAGGGAGAGAGAGATAGAAACATCAATGCTGAAAGAGAATCATTGATCGGCTGCCTCCTGCATGGCCCCCATTGGGGATCAAGCCCGCAACCCGGGTATGTGCCCTTGACTGAAATTGAACCTGGGACCCTTCTTCAGTCCACAGGCAGGCTGATGCTCTATCTATCCACTGAGAAAAACCAGCTAGGGCCCCCTCCCTTTTTTTTTTTTTTTACTTAGTGATATAGTCTGAACTATCACAGAATTCCATCCTATATCGGTTCACAGAGCTCACCCTCCTTCTCATTGCACGGTGGCTCAGGACTCTGTTGGGTGATGTTTTATGGATTAGTTCATGAATCTAGGGCCTCTGGGCTGTTTCTGATACTTTGCCACCATGAGCCACTGCTGCAGTGGATTAACTTGTGCCTGTGAGCTTTCCTATCGCTGCACAGGTATCTTGAGGGTAAATTCCTGGCAGTGAAATTGCTGGGTTAAAGGATAAATACCTCTGTCGTTTTGTTCGTTGTGGTCAGCCTCCCCTCCATAGGGGCCGGGTCCTTCTGCATCCCCACCAGCGACACAGACGAGCATCCGTTCCCTGGGCTTCGCCAGAAGGAAATGCTGTGATGCTTTTAAACATTGGATGATCTGATACATGAGATGTTACCCCTCGTCGTTTTCATCTGCATTTCTCTTTCTTTGAGTGGGAGGGCATTTTTAAAAAATATATATTTTATTGATTTTTTTTTACAGAGAGGAAGGGAGAAGGAGAGAGTTAGAAACACCGATGAGAGAGAAACATCGATCAGCTGCCTCCTGCACATCTCCTACTGGGGACATGCCTGCAACCAAGGTACATGCCCTTGACCGGAATCGAACCCGGGACCCTTCAGTCCGCAGGCCGATGCGCTATCCACTGAGCCAAGCCTGTTAGGGCTGGGAGAGCATTTTGTTTGTTTTTTTAAACTGGGAGATCATAAAAGACCTTTCTAAAAAAGTGATAAGGCCCTAGCTGGCTTGGCTCAGTGGATAGAGCGTCAGCCTGTGGACTGAAGGGCTGCGGGTTCAATTCCAGTCAAGGGCACATGCCCTGGTTCCAGTGGGGGGTATGCAGGAGGCAGCCGATCAATGATTCTCTCTCAACATTGATGTCTCTCTCTCTCTCCCTTCCTCTCTGAAATCAATAAAAATATATTTTAAAAAATAATAAAGTGATAAAGAAGAAGATAGTTAAATGAAGTGACAGGTGCAGGGGAGAGGAATCAGGGGAGAGAATAGCAAGTGCAAAGGTTCTGAGGCAGAAGTGAGCTTGATGTGTTCAAGGAAGAATGAGGAATCTTGTGGCCAAGCAGAGGTAGCAAAGGGGGACTGACCAGGGATGAGTCTGTGGACACCGGACCATTAGGCATCCTAGTTTCGGGGTCAGGGGCGTTTTTCTGTAGAGGAGCCAGATAATAAAAATTTCCGGCGTTACCGGCCGCACCGTCTCTGTTGCACCTACTTCACTTTGCCACGACAGCCACAGGCAATGTGTCAATAAGCTGGCTGGGTTCCAGTAACATTTTACTTACGGGCCCGGAAACTTGAAATGCACAGACTTTGAAATCTGAGATGCTATCATTCACATAACCTAGAGTCCATATAATTCTGTGGGGGTTTTTTTTCTCTCTCACGGAATTCACAAGGCTGTGCAACCATCTCTATTACCTAATTTCTTAACATTTTCCTCACCCCCCGCCAAAGACACTTCGCACCCTTTAACAGCCAGTCAAAGTCCCCCTCCAGCCCATTCCCTGGCAACCACTAATCTACGTTCTGTCTCTACGGATGTGCCTCTTTTGGACATCTATATGTATAAAAGCCGAATATGCAAATTGTCCCCTCCCGGGGAGTTCCACTGGGAGTCGGGGAGTTCGATCGTTCGCTATGACGTGCGCTGACCACTAGGGGGTGGCGCGGAACGGAGGAAGGCGACTGTTAGCAAGAAAGTTCATCTTTAGGAAGTGATATTGCCTCTTAGAAATTCTCAACCCAGACCCCTCTCTCTTCTCCACCTTCCTCATGCCCCTCTATTTCCTCATCTGAAAATGGACATAAAAATGGTACCCATGTGAAAGGGCTGGTGTGAGGTTTGAATGAGTGGATGTATGTATGACACTGAGAATGAACGGTGCCTGGCACAGAACAAGACCTATGTAAGCAGTTGCTATTATTATTATTATTATTATTATTATTATTATTATTAATATTACTAGAGGCCCGGTGCACGAATTCGTGCATGGGTGGGGTCCCTGGGCCTGGCCAGCGATCAGGGCTGATTGGGGCCTGGGGCTGGGCTGATCAGGGCCTGCTGGCCTGGGAGAGGGACGAGGGAAGGGACTGCGGGAGGTTGGCCGGCCGGCTGAGGGGAGGGACCGGCCAGGGAGAGGGGCTGCAGGAGGTTGGCCGGCATGGGGAGGGATCAGGGGAGGTTGGCTGTGGGAGCACACTGACCACCAGGGGGCAGCTCCTACATTGAGCGTCTGCCCCTCGTGGTCAGTGCATGTCATAGCAACTGGTTGACCGGTCATTCTGGTTGTTCGGTCATAAGGCCACTTAGGCTTTTATATATAGAGATTATTGATATTGTTGCTATTATCCATACAGCCTCAGCTCAGGCCTCCTCCTCCTCCCCCTGGAATGTAAATCTCCAGTAGTTTCCCCTCCAGTCTCTTCCCAGAAACAACCAGCCCCCAAAGGACCTTCTAGCGCTCCAATCTGGCCCCGTCTTCCTTCTGCTCCAGACTTTCCATGGCTCCCGAGTGCCCTGGGCATCAAGGCCGAGCCCCCCAGCCTGGCATGCGAGGATCATGGTGGTTGGGTCTCTGCCCCCTTCTCCGGCCTCATTTTTGGCGGCTGTGGCCCAATGTTGTAGTCACATGCTCAGCCTTTGCCCTGCTGGTCCCTCCGCCCAGAGTGGTATAATGGAGACTCTTATTCTTCCCTGGGCCTCATGCTGTAGGACCTGAACAAGTACCATTCCTCCAGGAAGCTGTCCCTGGTCCCCCCTGCCCCTGCCCCTGCCTGTTGACCCACGGCCATATCTGCCTTCCCCAATTACATTGTGAGCTTCTGGACACAAGTTTTGGGTGAGGGAGAAGGAGGAGGACTCATCTCCCACATCCCTGCACCCAGCCAAGGCCCAGCACACAAGGGGCTTAAAAAGATAGACATTAGCCCTGGCCGGTTTGGCTCAGTGGATAGAGCATCGACCTGCAGACTCAAGGGTCCTGAGTTCGATTCCAGTCAAGGGCACATGCCCGGGTGGCGGGCTCGATCCCCAGTGGGGGGCGTGCAGGAGGCAGCCGATCAATGATTCTCTCTCATCATTGATGTTTCTATCTCTCTTCCTCTCTCTTCCTCTCTGAAATCAATAAAAATATATTTAAAAAAAAATAGACATTAGACCAGGCCAGAATAGGGAGGCGAGGGAGAGAGCTGCGGTGGGAGGGGGAGGGCCCGGCTGGGGGAAGGGGTCCACTGCTGGTGGACCAAGGGCACCCCTCTGCTCCCCAGGCCTCTCCTTGGTGGTGGGCTTGGTCCTGTACATCTCCAGCATCAATGACGAGGTCATGAACAGGCCCAGCAGCTCGGAGCAGTACTTCCACTATCGCTACGGGTGGTCTTTTGCCTTCGCCGCTTCCTCCTTCCTTCTCAAAGAGGTGATGTCTCAGGGCCCTCAGGAGAGTTTTGAATGGGGAGGGCTCTTGGGGGCCTGATTCCTGGGTCCAGGAGGCAGAGGAGACTGGGGGCGAGGGCTGGATGAAGGGTGGTGGCTGAGGAGCTAGCCCCTGGGAGGGGGCTGGGGACCTGACTCCCGTTTCCTGGGGGAGGAGAGGGGCTGGGGACCTAAACTCCTGGGTCCTGTGGGGGGAGAGGGGCTGGGGACCCAGACTCCCGGGGACCTGGGGGAGGAGGGGGTAGGGGGTTGGACTCCTGGATCCTGGAGGAGGAGTGGGGTGAGGACCCAGACTCCCAAGGTCCTGGGGGAGGAGGGGCTGGGGGCCTGGACTTCTGGGTCTGAGGGAGGAGGGGCTGGGGCCTGGACTTCTGGGTCTGAGGGAGGAGGGGCTGGGGCCTGGGCTCCTGGGTCTGAGGGAGGAGGGGCTGGGGGCCTGGGCTCCTGGGTCCTGGGGGTCTGAGCCTGGCCCGGCCCCTGGGACTGACCCCGCCTCGCCGCAGGGGGCTGGCGTGATGTCCGTGTACTTGTTCACCAAGCGCTACGCGGAGGAGGAGATGTACCGCCCGCACCCCGCCTTCTACCGCCCGCGCCTCAGCGACTGCTCCGACTACTCGGGCCAGTTCCTGCAGCCGGAGTCCTGGCGCCGCGGCCGCAGCCCCTCCGACATCTCCAGCGACGTGTCCATCCAGATGACGCAGAACTACCCTCCCGCCATCAAGTACCCGGACCACCTGCACATCTCCACCTCGCCCTGCTGAGCGCGCCCCGCGGAGCCCCCTCCTCCGCCCCGAGGCCTCCCCGCGGCGCAGCTCCCCGGCTCCCGGGAGGAGGCTGCTCACGCGGTGGCCCCGCCCCCTCATCAGTGACCACGCCCATCACCATAGCCCCGCCTCTCCTTTTCAATAGCCCCGCCTTTCCTGGCCGTTCCACGCCATTGGGCCCGTCACTTCAAATGGCCCCTCAACCAGTGACCACGCCCATCACCATAGCCCCGCCTCTTCTTTTCAATAGCCCCTCCTTTCCTGGCCGTTCCACGCCATTGGGCCCGTCACTTCAAATGGCCCCTCAACCAGTGACCACGCCCATCACCATAGCCCCGCCTTCTCTTTTCAACAGCCCCTCCTCCCATAGCCCCGCCCCTTTCCCGGCCGTTCCACGCCATTGGGCCCCTCACTTCACATGACCCCGCCCCCTCTCCCTGAAGCCACGCCCCTTCGCGGGCCCCGCCTTCCCAGCCTAGTCCATCCTCCTGGGTTGCACCACTCAGGTGCCCACCTTCACAAAGGGGCGCTGGGCTGGAGATGGGGTCCGGCAGCCGCCAGGAATGCCAACCATCCTCTTCTCCCTGCTGCCCCTCGTTGTCTGTTTTCAGGCCCTGTCTCACCACCCTCCCCGCCCCCCCGATCTTGGGGGTCCTTGTGTGCAGGGAGGGGCCTCTTTGCTTCGCCCACACGCGGGGTGAGCGGGGTCTGGAAGCGGTGGGTCGGGTTCCTCCTGTCTCCCCCACATTTCTCTGCTCCCCGGGGAGGCCCCCTTCCTCGCGGCCTCCTGGGGGCCCCCTGCCTCTGTGGGCGCCGTCTAACTAGTGTTCCCGCTTTCTCTGCTGCCCTTCGCTTATCTTTCCTCTTCCTCCTCTAACTCGGTCTCCTTCCTTTCCACCCCTGGGCGCCCCCAGCCCTGCACACCGCGCAGGATGGAGACCTGCGCCCGCCTCTGCCCCCTCGAGGCCCCGTCGGGGGAGGGAGAGACAGTAGCGGGGGTCGACACCCCCCAAACCTCGAAGTCTTCCATTTTTCTGGCACCTATTTACCCCCTTCCCCCCAGCCCCCTCCATCAATGAAGTTCCCCTTCCCATCTCAGACCCCAAACTCTGGCCTCTTTCAAGGGTCCGTCCTCCCCCTTGGACAGATTTTGGGGGGGTGTCCCAGAAATTCGTCCACCCCCCCTTATGAGGGGAGGAGGGGCGAGGTAGCACAGTGTTGTACACGGAAGCAGAAAGGCCCCGGGGTGGGGGGGGGGGAGGCCGGGGAGGGACGGGGCTTTTAGTTTGCATCTTAGGGGGGAGGGGGGCGGGGGGACCCAAGCAGTTAACTTGTCTTTACGCAGCGATTTTTAACGAGGCTGGGGGGGGAGGGGGGCTGTGGGGGTGGGGGCGGGTGGGTGGGGGGCCCGGCTCTGTTATTTACCGTGTATCATATGTAAATACCAAACAGAAACTTCAATAAACTTTATTTCAAACACGTCTCTGCCTGCCCAGGGGGCGGGGCCTCTACCCCCGGGGTCAGGGAATCAGGTTAGATTCGCGTTCGTCAAACAGCTTAATCGGCAATCATTACGAACAGCGGGACTTGATAAAACAGGTAGGTCAGCAAAGGGCACGGGTCAGGGTCAATAAAAATGAGCTCCTGGGATTGCTCTGCCCACGGACAAGCGTGAGCAGTCATTGCACACCTATTATGTGTGAGCTCACACTTTCCTCTCCGGCAGGAGCTCGAGAGGCTCCCAGCAGCCTGGGGTGGGATTTATCACGCACACGCACACGCACACGCACACAGACACAGACACACAGACACACACACTGGGCTCAGACCTGTGATCTCACCGTCTACACTGAGGGACTAAAAACAGCCTGAATGTTTGAGAAAACTTGTTCTTGAGATGTGTTTACTAGTAAAACACAACACAGTGCTAGCCCAACAGTTCTGGGTTTTTATCGTTATTTTTTTATATTTTAATATTTTTTAGTTTTATTATTTTTCAGGTTTTTCTTTTAAAAATGTATTTTTTATTGTTGATGGTATTGCAGATATCTCCCATTTTCTTCCCCTTTCCCCCTGCCCCAGTCCCTACCAACTCCCCCCCCCCTCCTCCCAGGTCTTCACCACCCTGTTGACCGTGTCCATGGGCCATGTGTATAAGTATATAACTTTGGTTTATCGCTTGTTGTTTTTTAAATATATTTGTATTGATTTCAGAGAGGAAGGGAGAGAGAGAGCTAGAAACATCGATGAGAGAGAAACATAGATCAGCTGCCTCCTGCACACTCCCTACTGGGGATGTGCCTGCAACCAAGGTACATGCCCTTGACCAGAATGGAACCTGGGACCCTTCAGTCCGCAGGCTGACGCTCTATCCACTGAGCCAAGCTGGTTAGGGCCTTTGGCTTATCTCTTATTGTTTTTTAAAGTATTTTTATTGATTTCAGAGAGGAAGGGAGAGAGAGAGAGAGAGAGAGAGAGAGAGAGAGAGAGAGAGAGAGAGAGAGAGAGAGAGAAACTTCCATGATGAGAGAGACGCATTGACTGGCTGCCTCCTGCACACCTCCCACTGGGGATGGAGCCCACAACCCTGGCATGTGCCCTTAACCTCAATCGAACCCGGGACCCTCCTTTAGTCTGCAGGCTGACACTCTATCCACTGAGCCACACCAGCTAGGGCAGTTGTTGTTGTTTTTAAGTTATCACCCGAGAATATGTTTTTTATTTTAGAGAAAGAGGAAGGGAGAGAGAAAGAGACAGAGAGAAACATCGATTGGGTTACCTCAAACTCACAACCTGGTCGCGTGCCCTGGCCGGAAATTGAACCTGGGACCTTCTGGTGTACAGGACAACACCCCGGGGACCCTCAGGACATCAGCCACACCCACACTTACCAAGCAGACATTGGGTGTCAGACACACACGTGCTGAGCTCTCTGCATTGATTACACAATTGGATTCTCCTGGGCACTGGGCATTCCTCAGAGCCCATTTTGCAGATGGAGAAACAGACTCAGGGAGGTCCCGCTGGTCAGATGCAAAGGAGAATTCACACCCAGGTCTGTCTCACCCCAGGGTCTGCTCTCTGAGCGGCTACATTTTAGGAATTGGATGCAAACTCCTTCTGCGACCCGGAGCAAGACTTTTTCATCGCTGGGGCTCCGGTTTCTTGCTTGGTAACTAAGGAGGGGGGTGGGCTAGCAGCAGGACCTTCTGGAACAGGGAGAGTTGGAGGAGGTGGGGTGTAGGTTAGCAGGAAAGAATGAAGGCTCAGCAGGACCCGACTCCCTGGGGGAACTCTGCTGAGTCATTTCCAGTGGTTTCAGGAATTTGGGGCGGTCATGCTCAAGGTCTGGGCTGGCAAATGGGTTTCCGCTGCCTTGTCGAGATGAAGCCATGCCCCGCGGCTGCCCCGAGCACCCACCGTGCTGATAAGGAGTTTGAACTTGTGCTCAGTGGGGAAGGATGTTGCTATCAATGAGTGCTGCCTGCATCCTGACTCATCGGTGCTGTCGGTCCGGCCAGCAGGAGGGGAGGCTGTGGTTCCAGTGCTGGAAAAGTGTTGATCTTGTCCAGAAGGTAACAACCCGAAGTCGTAACGTTTATCTCCTTTAAAATAGCAAGCTAACCCTAGCCGGGTTGGCTCAGTGGATAGAGCGTCGGCCTGCAGACGGAAGGGTCCCGGGTTCGATTCCAGTCAAGGGCACATGCCCGGGTCGCAGGTTCAATCCCCACTAGGGGGCGTGCAGGAGGCAGCCGATCCATGATTCTCTCTCATCAATGATGTTTCTAGCTCTCTCCCTCTTCCTTCCTCTCTGAAATCAATAAAAAAATATTTAAAAAATAAAATAAAATAGCAAGCTAACCCTCGCAGGTTTGGCTCAGTGGATAAAGCGTCGGCCTGCAGTCCCGGGTTTGATTCTGGTCAAGGGCACGGACCTCGGTTGCAGGCTCCTCCCTGGCCTGGGCCATGGTTAGTGCTCCTGCAGGCAGCAACCATCTATGTGTTTCTCTCATATCAATGTTTCTCTCTTTCCCTCTCTCCCTTCCACTCTCCCTAAAAATCAATGGGAAAATAGCCTTGGGTGAGAATGAACAAAACAAACAAACAAAAACCAAGCTAGCTCTTGCCAGTTGATTGAGCATCGCTCCATGCACCAAGAGGTTACTGGTTCGATTCCCGGTTAAGGCACATGCCCAGGTTGTGGGTTTGATCCCCAGTCATGGTGCATGCAGAAGGGATCCAATTAATGTTTCTCTCTCTGTCACCAATGTTTTTCTCTCTCTCCCTCCCTCTTCCTCTCTCTAAAATCAATAAAGTATATTTTTAAAAGTCCTGCCAGCCCAGGCCAGTTTTGTTCAGTGGATAGAGCGACAGCCTGTGCACTGAAGGGTCCCGGGTTTGATTCCCGGTCAAGGGCACGTGCCTCGATTGAAAGTTTGATCCCAGCCCTGGTTGGGGCATGTCCGGAAGACGGCCAATTGATGTCTCTCTCTCTCACATGGATGTTTCCCTCTCTCTATCTCTCCCCCTCCCTTCCACTCTCTCTAAAAATCAATGGGCCGAAACCGGTTTGGCTCAGTGGATAGAGTGTAGGCCTGTGGACGGAAAGGTCCCAGGTTCGATTCCGGTCAAGGGCATGTACCTGGGTTGCGGGCACATCCCCAGTAAGAGATGTGCAGGAGGCGGCTGATCGATGTTTCTCTCTCATCGATGTTTCTAACTCTCTATCCCTCTCCCTTCCTCTCTGTAAAGAATCAATAAAATATATTTAAAAAATAAATAAATAAAATAAAAATCAATGGGAAAATATCCTCAGATGAGGATTAACAAAAACAAAACGAAAGAAAATGATGCTGGATATTTTTTTTTGTTGTTGTTTTGCTTTTTATAGTTTGATCTTCTTTTAATGTGTCATTTCAAGAACACTCTATGCGCCGTGAAGCATGTATGCCTGTATTTGCATCCCCACACCGGTGGGTGGGTAGCCTGTAGGCACGTGTTTATTCGGCTCGGCTTTGTCACAATATGCATACGGGTCTGTAGCTCTCGGCCCCACGTGGCCGTGTATTATGGAGATCATCACTTAGAAGCAATTATATAACCGCCTTACTGTTCTGCAAGGCTGCTTAATAACAATGCTTTGCATAAATTAGTTGCATAATTTATCCAGTGTTTCCTTTGTGCCTTCCACGGTGCATTCAAGCCCTGGGCACTTTACGTTCAATAACCCCGAGGGGGTCGGTGCTTTTACTGTGGCCCCCGTCTTATAAAGGAGACCCCGCAGCGCAGAGAGGTCGATTAACTTCCTGCGGGTCACACAGCCAGGAAGTGTTCACGTTAGGATTTGAACCCGGGGAGTCTCCTGAGCCTGCCGTGCTCACCCACTAAGCTGTATTCCTCCACGTTTCCTGAGGCCGTATTTTTTCGTTTATCATCATTTTTATTTTTTTATACCTTTTTAAAAAAATATATTTTGTTGATTTTTTTTACAGAGAGGAAGGGAGAGGGATAGAGAGTCAGAAACATCGATGAGAGAGAAACATCAATTCAGCTGCCTCCTGCACACCCCCTATGGGGGATGTGCCCGCAACCAAGGTACCTGCCCTTGACCAGAATCGAACCTGAGACCCTTGAGTCTGCAGGCCCACGCTCTATCCACTGAGGCAAACCGGTCAGGGCTCATTTATCATCTATTTTTTTTTGGGGGGGGGGAATGCAGAAAGCAGAGTTTATTCAGTAATTAATTCTGTTTTTTATTGTTGGTGATTTATCTATTTTTTATTAAATATATTTTATTGATTTTTCACAGAGAGAAAGGGAGAGGTATAGAGAGTTAGAAACATCAATGAGAGAGAAACATCGATTCAGCTGCCTCCTGCACATCTCCTACTGGGGATGTGCCTGTAACCAACGTACATGCTCTTGACCGGAATCGAACCTGGGATCCTTCAGTCCGCAGGCTGACGCTCTGTCCACTGAGCCAAACTGGTTAGGGGTATCATCATTTTTACACAATGTTTTGCACTTGGTTCATTTTCAGAACAATACACACCTCGGTGGTCCCCAGAGGGGTGGCCCAGGGACCCTGGGCATCCCTGAGGTGTGTTTAAGGGGTCCATGAGGTCCAAACCATTGTTGTAATAATACTTTGTTTGCCTTTTCACTCTTGGTCTCTCATGAGTGCAAGGCCAGAGCCTTTGGGTGGCGTCCGGACAGGGGAAGCAAAGCAGATTACATG